AATCTTTTAACATTCATTGTGTTGGTCAAACAGTCTCTTTTAAGTTATTTGAGATAAGAGCTGGATGGATCTATGCTGCTCTGAATTCCCCTGGAATATATATATATATATATATATATATATATATATATATATATATATATATATATATATATATATAGCATGCTTATATACATATGGAGAAAACATATTTATAAAACATAAAAATACTTATATGTAACGCATACAAGGTGAGGCAAAAATAGTTATACAGTAATAATATACAAAACGCATGCAGAAGAAAGTATGAAATGAATCCGAGAACAATTATTGTAATAAGAAAAGTTGAAATATCTGGGAAGTATTTTAACAGAGGACAAAAAGTACGACAATGAAATCTGAGGGTCAATTGGGATGGCCAAAAATGTATTCCAAAAGCTAAGTAGATTTTTAAGAAACAGAAAATCTTCGAGAGAAGCATAAAAAAGAGTACTGAAGTGTTACGTGATATCTGCCATTTTATACGGTCATGAATGGTAGGTAATCCCCTCAAAGATGAAGAAGAGACTTGAAGCAACAGAAATGTGATTCTAAAGAAGAACGCTGAGGGTAACATAGACAGAATATGTGAGCAACAACGAAATTTTAAAGAAAATGGAAACAAATAGGTACATACTTATCTCTCAATACTTATCTGGCCCAGGGATCCGTCCCTGTGCTGGTGGTATTACGGCTACGACTAGGTTGAACTGGCTCTGACGAGTTTAGACCAGCTATGACAAGCCAAGGCAGGCTATGACTAGCTTAGACCAGCTCTGACCACCTTGGACAAGCTATGACCAGCTAAGACCAGCGTCCCGAGTGAAAACACTGGGGTCCCCAAGTTAAAAACTGAACCTTACTTTGTCGGGTGGGGGGGTCAAGTAAATCTCTATTTAAAATCAGGAAGCGACAGTTCAAATTTCAGGGGGATATAATAAGGAAAGAGGGCTTGGAAAAGCTGACACTCACAGGACAGATTGAAGCAGCAACAACTAAAATGGATGTCGTCTGTCACTTGAAGAGAAAATAATGACAAAATGTTGATATTCGAAACTACTTCAAGTAAAAGGTAAGAAACGAAAACTCCCAAAAATACTGGAAAGAACAATAACAACTCCTAGACTTGAGAAATCTATTTTCCTGATAAACTAATTTAAGAGAAAGATTTTATATAAATTTCAACCGACAGTAGCACTGGTTGCTCAATCAATAAATGCCGAAGTTTTCCTTATAAGGAAACGACTAATATTATCATTAACAGTTCTTTTGATTTACATGATAGGTAGGTGTTTTTTTTTGTTTTTTTTTATTTGATTGATTGGTCTAACGCATGGTTTCTACTCCTATTTGGCCTTGTGCCGGACTTGTCTATAATGAATATCACATTTAACCTCTCTCTTCTTCGTATCCTTTCTTTCCTTTTATATATTTGTATTGGGCTCGCGTATATGTGCCTTGCATTCATTATTAAATATTAAAATATTTCATTATGTTAATTTAATTATATCCAATATTTTAAGTATTTTAAGAATTATAAATATTTCATGCAATTGACAACCTGAGAAAATACTCATGTATATATATATATATATGTGCGCGCGTGCGTGTGTGTGTATTCAGTTGTATGGATATTAGTTTATAAACCTGGGTTTCACATTTTTGCGATCATCAGACAAGCTGGTTTATTTTTAAAAAAATTGGATCTATTAATGCTTATTTGTGTTTGAATATTTGTGTGTGGAGGTGGGGGAAATTTTCTTGTGTCTTTGTTTGGTATGACACTCTTACATACTCAGACACACATACATACAGGTGTATGCATTTTAGTTCGTACAAACACACCCGTATAAATAATCTAAGGTTAGGCGCAGATACGCATACATGCATTCGAGCATATATATATATATATATATATATATATATATATATATATACGCAATTGTCATTCTATTTTTGGTGTCGAGACTGTAGCGTTAAATGTAGTAATGTTCTCTTAACAAGGAACAAGTCTTGACGTTTTTCAGATCGGCCATCCACACCGTCAGATAAGTTCACATTTCTTCACACATTCATAGACATATGTAGACGCGTACCCACACTCATTGGTCTGGGTCCACTACCATCACGTTGGTTGAGTTGTGTTCTATCTGTGGACATGATGATGATGATGATGTTTGTATTTTTAGCAACGCTAACTGATGGAGTATTATTGACAATTGTGATTATATCAACTGTAATAATAACTGTGATATTATTATTGATATATTAACAATAATTATTGATGTGTTATTGGTTATGATAAACGGTAAAGTTAGCCTTCATAATGATGGAAACGATAATATAATAATGAGAAAAAATGACAATAATGACAATGGTAATTATGATAATAGTAATGGTAACCATGATAATGATGACGATGATGATGGTAATAATAATAATAACAATAATAAAAATAAAAACAATGACATTGATAAAAAGCAGTACTAATGGTGGTAGAGCTGGTTATGAAGTGATTGTTCTTCAAACGGTAACAGCAGTACTGATAGTGAAAATAATAATAATAGTTATTTTCGGTAGATCCACTTTTTAAAAAATAAACCAGATTATCAGATGATCGCAAAAGCGTGAAATCCAGGGTTACAAACTAATATCCATACAACTGAATATGTTAGCTCTATAACAGATATTGAGCACTTTCCAATGCACACACACACACACACACACACACACACACACACACATATATATATATATATATATATATATATATATATATATATATATAAAAAGTCCCCTGCAAAAATATTGGAACGGCAAGCCCAATTCCATTGTTCTTCTTGTTCACAGAAGACATTTGGGTTTAAGATCAAAATATTAATATGAGACAAAAATTCAGAATTTCCGCTTTTATTTCCTGGTATTTACATTTAGATGTGCTAAACAACTTGGGACCTACCATCTTTTTGTTTGAACCCACCCATTTTGCAAGTGAGCAAAACTGTTGGAACACGTGAGTGACAAGTGTTTCTTGTTGCCCAGGTGTTGCCTTTTAGATTGTTTGATTAAACTTTAAGTATCTTTGAATAATAACTCTTGGTTTTAACCTTGGTTTTAACCTGTAAAAGTGTATATTATGTTAAAGAGCATAAGTCAATACGAAGACGAGTGAGCTGTCTCTGGGAGAAAAATAAGCCATTTTGAAGCTGAGAAAAAAAGGAAAATCAATCAGAGCCATTGGACAAACACTGGGCAACACAACGATTTCAAATGTCGTGAAAAAGAAAGAAACCCCCGGTGTACTGAGCAACAGACATAAATTAGTTCGGCCAAGGAAAACAAAAGCAGATGATGACAGAAACACTGTGAGAGCTGTGAGGGAAATTCGCAAAGCAACAGTCGGTGACATCGCCAACAACCTCCAGGGTACAGGGGTGAAGGTTTCACGATCCGCCTTTCGAAGGAGATTTCGAGAACAGAAGTATAGAGGCTATAACGCAAAATGCAAACCCGTCATCAGCAATAAGAATTGGAAGGCCAGATTCAGAATTTGCTAGGAAGTAGAGAGATGAGCAACAAAAGTTCTGGAAGAATGAATTCAAAAGTCTACGCAAGCCATTGTGAAGCTGTGAAAAGAATGAACGTCGATCAGCCATTGGAAAAACATTATGTAGAGTCAAAGATTAGAATTTGCAAGTACAGAGATGAAAGAGTATAGTTCCGTACGAAAGCTTTATGGACTGATGAGACCAAGTTTATGTTACAATTTTTGGATACATTATAGACTAGTGAGTTAGCCCAAATGACTTTATATTCAACCAATAAAAGGTTAACCAATCAGAAGACGTAGAACATTCAATCCGTCGTATATAAAGGCGGCCATTTTGCCTACTCTATCCGAATGTCCAGTGCCAGCTTATCAGGCGAAGAGAAACAGAAGGACGAACTACGCTCTGCTAGAGTTTGTCTATATTTCTGAGATGAGGGCATTTGTATTATGTACAGTATTTACATTAGTCGGACTATTGTCCTCATCTTTGTCGTCATATTTGATCACAACGTTTCGGCCGTTGTAACGGCCTTCTTCAGTGCCATGTTGGACACAACTGGCCTTTGGTTCGATCCAGTGACAGACCCAAAGAAGGTGAGTTCAATGTCAGGTTAAGGCAGTCCTGAATTTTCCCTCTGGAAAATTAGCAGGAGATAACTGATAACTGACATCCATCTTTGGGTCTGGAATTAGAATCTAACCCAGCGATCGAAATAAAGGGTTCAGTTCCAAATTCCAACCACCTGAAGAAGGCCGGAGCGTACAACGGCCGAAACGTTGTGACAAATATGGCGACAAAGATGAGGACAATAGTCCGACTAATGTAAATACTGTACGC